AAATAGAGAAACGGGAAGTAATAAAAACAGCTTCTGAGTGTTGGGAACTTTTAAAAGAGGGTTAAAAAAACTTATTCATGAGAGACAGAGAGAGAGAGAGAGAGAGAGAGAGAGAGAGAGAGGGAGGGAGAGAGAGAAGTAGAGGCAGGTTCCCCATGGGAGCCTGATGTGGACCTCGATCCCAGGATCCTGGGATCACGACCTGAGCCGAAGGCAGACGCTCAACCACTGAGGCACCCAGGTGCCCCTTAAAATACATTTAAAAGCTCTGTGGGGTGGGTATCATTAGTTTCATTTTACAGATGAGAAGCTGGCATAGGGACACAGGCGAGTGAGATTCGCCTGGGCCCAGGCCCAACTGCCGCTAAGAAGCAGCTGATGGTTTTCTGGCCTGCGATCTGTGAACCGCTACAGGCTCCGAGTTCTTCCCAGGCGCTGGCTGTTTCTGTATGTCTTTGGGCTGCATCCTCTTGGTGTGTTGGGCCAGGGCAGGCACCTGATCCCTCTCCCCTTCCTTTCTGTATGTGGTTCATTGGGGGTCACACACACATAGGTTCGAATCCTAGCACTGCTGCTTGCCAGCTGTGGGGTCTGGGCAAGTCTGCCCCTTGGTGAGCCTCTGTTTCCCCCTCTGAGAGACCTAGAACCTTGTTCACTGGTGACTCTCCAACCTCTCTGACTCCTCTTCTATCTCCTCTGGAATGTGAGTTTCTGGAGGGAAGAGTCTTTCTTCTTGTTTAGTACATTCTTTCTGATGCCTAGGACAGGGCCTGGCACATAGTAGGTGCTCAGGAAACATTTGTGGATGGTTGCCGGACTCTCCCTGCTGAATGCCCCTTAAAGTGGACATGTCTCCTCTTCTATATTCTCACGGAGAGTGCATGATTTCAGTCATTTCCTAGTGACTGTTAAGGCATTCATTCATTCATTCATTCACTCATTCATTTATTCCAAAACACTGTTGTGCTGATAAGTTCTGGGTCCATCAAGAGTTTTAAGATGCCTGCTCTTGAGAGCTTCAAGTCCACGATGAGACCCACTGGCAATGATGAGTTCAGATCTCAGTAGTCTCTTCCCCACTGCCTCTAATGTCCATTGAGGTTTCCTATGTACTTGACCCTTGTCACCTTAGAAGCGGAACTCTCTGTGGCCTCTTCTGCTAAGGGGAGAGTACCCCATGAGCTAGACAGTCTCATCAGGTGCCACGGAAAGTGGCAAGAACTGGGAGAAGATGCCCTGGATAGAGAGCCACACACAGGCTGTCTAGAGTCTGAGCTCCTATTTGAATGGAGAAGCAAGGGGGAGTCAGGCCTCCCTGGTCCAGGTAACCTCTAATGTTCCTAAAATTGATTGCTTGAAAGCCAACCACACTTGGACATGTTGTACACAGCCTTAGATCCTAAATTCAAATGGATGTGTTATAACCCAGTCATACCGGTTTGTTTTAAGGCCTGAGGCCTTCTGCAAATGATGGGGAGTCTGGGGACTGCAGGGAGAAAGTCTCATTACAAAGGAGTGTATTACGAGGAGATTGCCTCAGGGGACCCCTACCATTAGGAATCCAGAGCCTGACTATTCTTTGAGAGGGGCCTGCAAGTTCTGGTTCACTGAGAGGTGGGCAGGTTTGCCATCAGGAGGTTGATCAGATGTACCTCGAGCATTGACTGGAGCATGTACGGACATCGCTCCCAACGATAATCAATCAGCAACATGGCATCTACTGCTGTCCTTCCTGGACCAGGTACGCGGCCTTTCAGTCATGACACTGGGTAGGGCTCACTCACAGGTAATAGCGAATTTGGCCGTGCTTGCTGGGGGCCATTGTTTCAAGTCCTTGTAAAAATTAACCCCCATGGCGGCCCTGTGAGGTGGGCACTGTCATCAGCCCATTCACAGAAAAAGAAACTGAGTTGCACAAATCTAAGTCCTTGGTCGCAGGTCACCAACCCTCCTTTCTTGGATGTTGTGAAGAGATGAAGGCCATGGTGGCTTTATTTAGTCTGGAGTAGGACTTTTTCTTTGGCCTTTGATCTTATAAAATCAGACATTGTTTCCATTGTTCTCTGGTTTTCTGCTGACAACTTTCTCCCTAAGGCAACTGGTCTGTGACTCATGTTAAACTGCTTGGGGGATGGGGTAGGGAAATGCGTCAGAGTAACAAGAAACTGAATATATCACATCTGTCTCTGTGTGTCCTGCTTTTTCACTCATTCTACTTTCCGCTAGCCTCAAGTCTTGGCTATGGGGTTTAAGACTCTCCATCCACAGCTAATAGAAATATGACATGAGCCACACATGCCATTTTAAACTTTCTAGTAACCACTCTTTTTAAAAAGGTAAAGAGACACAGTGGAATTAATTTTAATAATGTTTTATTTAAGCCAGTATGCCTAAACTATCATTGCTTCAACACGTTCTCAGCAGATGAATCCATTACATTCTTTTTTTCATACTAAATCTCTTTAGTATTTTATACTTATAATCACATCTCAACTATATTTCAAGTGCTCAATAGCCACACATGCCCTGTGGGTGCTTATTGGACACAGCAGCCCAAGGCCCTGGAATCTCTGTCCTGGAGGGACCAGGCTAGGGTTGGGAGGGTTAGCAGGTGGCTCTAAGTCTCAGGGCTATGTTTATCTCCAGCTTAACCTCCTCAGGAGAAATGAGCTTTGTTCTCTCTTAGTGGAGAATCTGGCCTTGGTTTGTGAGATGTTTTCTGAAAGGCAAATACTAGGCCCTGACCCAAGTTCACTTAATACATGGAGAGCAAGGGGATATTTATTCATGCAACAACTACTACTTATGGAAAACTTCATTGGCTCAAGATCCCATTCAAGGGCTGTTCAAGGTCCAGGGGGAATGGGAGCGGATTCTCTCTATGGAGAGAGGACTCAGGAGGTCTGCAGAGAGTTCCCTTCAAATCTGCAGCTGAGTGTTGATCAGTGCACGCATGCGAGGACAGTACTGGAGGCCAAGGAAAGACCACCCATTAGAATCAGCTGGAGCTAAAAAAAAAAAAAAAAGAATCAGCTGGAACTTACACAGGGTCGGGCATTATTTGTGTCCTCATCAACCAGAAAGGGAAGAACATCTAACATGTAGGATATCCAGCAGAATCCGGAGAAACATATTGCCTCAGTAGTCACCAAATTAGCCCTAGACTAAAGAGTGTTCTGGACCTGCTCGGCAATCTTAAAAACAGGTCTCAAAAGATTCAAATTGTTTCCAGTAATGCAACTGCGCCATCCTAAAACAAAACCCCAAAATATTTAAAGGAAAACAAAAAATTTTAGCGCTCTGCAATGTGAAATTCGAAATGTCTGGCATCCAATAAAAAATTACCTGGCACGCAAAGCAGTAAAATATGAGCTATAATGAGGATAAAAATCGATCAATAGAAACAGATCCAGAAATGTCACAGATGATGGAATTAATAGACAAGGACATTAAAGCAGCCATTAGAAACACACTCCATATGCTCAAGAAGGGACAGGGAAGCAAGAGCATGTTAACAGGAGGCGTGGGAGATATAAAATAGACCCAAATCAAACTTCAAGATCCGAGAATCGCAAGGAAACCCAAGCAAATCTTGGCTCTAACACTTGCTGTGTAACCATGGGCAAGTTAATTCATCTGTCTGAGCCAGATTTCCTCATTTGATGCATATAGCTAATGTATATTGAGCATGTGTTCTGTATCAGGCACTGTTCTAAGACCTTTCCATGACAAAACTATGTAGGTGCTGTTATTACTGCCTCCGTTTTACGGATGAGGATAACGGAAGGATGAGGCACAGAAAACTTATGTAACTTGCTGCAGCTTACATAGCAAAGAAACTTGGGAGATCCAGGATTCAAACCAGAGCCCAAGCTCTTAGCGTCCATATGCTTCCGCCTCTCTCAACACCATAAGAATGAGGAAATGATTGTGTTTTGCTACATAGGCTTTTTAAAAAACTTTTAAAATTTCAGTTTGGTGCTTTTTTTGTTTTTAAGATTTTACTTTTAAGCAATATCTACATCCAATGTGGGGGCTTGAACTCACAACTCCAAGATCAAGAGTTGCACACTCTACCAACTGAGCCAGCCAGGCACCCCTAAAATTCCAGCTTTATTGATGTATAATGGACAAATAAAATTGTAAAAGTGTACATGATGATTTGATATTTGTGTATGTTTTGAAAGAATTTCCCCCACCTACTTAATGAACTCATCCATCACCTCACATATTTACGATTTGGAGAGCAGTGGTGAGAACATTTAAGATCTACTTTCAGGATTCCTGGGTGGCTCAGCGGTTGAGCGCCTGCCTTTGGCCCAGGGCGTGATCCTGGAGTCTAGGGATCGAGTCCCGCGTCGGGCTCCTGGCATGGAGCCTGCTTCTCCCTCTGCTTGTGTCTCTGATTCTCTCTCTCTCTCCCTATGTCTATCATAAATAAATATTTTTTTAAAAGATCTACTCTCTTGGCAAAATTTTTTAAAAAAGATTTTATTCATTTATTCATGAGAGAGAGAGAGAGAGAGATTGGCAGAGACACAGGCAGAGGGAGAAGCATGTTCCGTGCAGGGAGTCCCATGCGGGACTAGATCCCGGGTCCCCAGGATCATGCCCCGGGCCAAAGGCAGGTGCCAAACTGCTGCGCCACCCAGGGATCCCTCTCTTGGCAAATTTTAATTATATAGTAGTACAGTGATATCAACTACAGTTGATACATTAGATCCTCAGACCTTACTCATCTTATAATTGAAAGTTCATTGGCCTTTTGTGATGGTCAAACCAGACAGCCCATGTGCACCTGTTCACTGAGCACAGAGTGTTTGTTCAAAGTGAAAAATAAATGAAAACCTCAGATGGATTCAGAATGGTTGGCGTAGGGAGAGGTAAGGTCTTGTCCGTCTGGAATGAGCATTAACACCACTACTTACCAACTGTGGGACAGAAGGTTCAGGAGGCCACAGCCTACTCTGGGCTGTCTGAAGAAACTTTGCTTCCCTCAGGTCCCTTGGATATCTTCCCAGAACTCCTGCTCTTTCCCTGGAAAGGAGGAAGTGAATAAAGAGGTACGGCTTCCTTTTCTTTTCTATTCTACATGGAATGTGCCAGTTATGGTCAGGGAAACTGAGCAAAGAGAAGTTGACTGAAGTTTCTACATGTTATTTGCACTTTTTTGAGTCACCAAAATGGCTCTCTCTCTCTCTATATATATATATATATATATATATACTTTAAGATTTTATTTATTTGACAGTGAGAGAGCATAAGCACGGGGAGTGGCAGAAGGAGAGTGAGAAGCAGACTCCCCACTGAGCAGAGAGCCTGATGCAGGGCTTGATCCCAGGACCCTGGGATCATGACCGGAGCTGAAGGCAGACACTCAACTAACTGAGCCACCCATGCGTCTTGATATATATATATATATATACACACACATATATATCTCCATATATTTAAAAATATATCCATAATAAATGGGTCTTTAATATAAATATCCATTATATATATATGATATTGTCAAATCTCAAAAGAAGTATACACAGACATGTTGAAAAAATGGTCCAGTGTAACTGGGCTTCTAAAGCGTTCTTTGTTATATTCTGAAAGATTTACTGGGTTCTGGATTAGGCCAATGGAACTTTAGTGTGAACTCCAGTTGGATATGCTATTTCCCATCCAGACCAATCCCTGGGACCAAGTATTTGAGAAAAAGCAAATCTCCAATTCACTAAGGCTGTAGACATCAGTTAACGGGTTGGAATTATCCTCTTTTACGTACCCATTTGTCTGAGTAGCTATTTTTTTCAAAATTAAGTTAATATCAATGTTACATTTATTCTTTAAAAGTTCCTTTTATTGTTTCTTGTTACAAAAATAATACTTTCCTTGTAGAACATTTAGAAAATATAGGGTGATAAAAAGAAGGAACCACATTGCAGGGAATCTAGTACGCTTTACATTTGATGTCTATTTTGCCAGCATTTAAAAGATGTCTATCTGAAGAAAATGAGGTCATACTCTTTAAAATTGATGTATCATGGATGTCCTCCTCAGCCATAGCTTATTCTTCTGTAACATAAATTTTTGTGCAGCTCCATAATAAATATACAGTCAGGTTACATTTAATGCAAATTTGAATTACACAGTTTGAAATAGTAGGATATAAAATATTAATTAAACTTTGCTTTATGGGCAAAATCTGAAGTAATGTGAATCCTGCCTTGCATTTCATTTTTGTAGGAAATTTAATCTTGCGTAACATGAGTTTTGCATTCTGTGAAATCTTCAGCAATACAACCCCTCGCATAAAATATTACTGTCCTCTACTGCCATTGATTTAGCCCAGTGCCCTATTGATGATCACTTATTACTGCAATGAGCTTCTTTGAAGATAAATCTTTGCACACATCCATAATGATCCCTTTAGGAAAAATTCTTAGACATAGAATTGCTAGCTCAGGGCTTTTGATGCACATTGTAAAAACCCTGTCCTGAAAGGTGGTATTCACACTTAACAGACTTTTACGTGGTGCTTACTACATGCCAGGTGCTACTCCGAGACCTGTAAGTCCTCATCATGATAAGATGCAGTAGGTACTATTATTATCATCACCCCCAGTTTACAGATGAGGAAGCTGAGTCACACGCAGTTGCCCAGGCCCCAGTGCTAGTAAGTGGCAGAGCTGGCTTCTGAGTCCTAGTCCCTGACCACTGTGCTTTTTTTTTTAACATTCTGAGCAGCAGATGACAACACAGTCATTTCTCTGAGTGTTTTTCCACAACAGGCGATATTTATCTGCGCAAAGGGAGTTTGAAATACACTGTTTTGACTAGGAAAATTGATGCAGCCAAAGGTGCTTTCTGAGCAGGGCTACGATGAGAGAGAGAGAGAGAGAGAGAGAGAGACAAAAGAAGTTCTACTTCTTGGTTACTGGTGAATTATTGGCCTGTTTGATTCCTTTTCTAAGAAGCCCCATCACAGTAATATTTTGGAAGCTTCCCCTATGAAGAGGAGACCTCTCATCTTTGGTCTTCAGTCTTCATGTAACAAATGTTCCCGGGGTCGACTTGTCCTCAAGGCTCTGCCCACACCCCAGGATTTCAGGACATGGTCCTGAGCCATGTGGCCCTCTTCATCCGCCATCTGCTGCAGATGGTGGCTCTATGCTTTAAGGACTCTGCAGCCTGCCACGGTTCCTGCCCGATGCTTGTTTTATTTACACACTTGCAGCGTGTGCTCACACTGAGAAACTAACAGGGAGGCATAAAACTTGAGCTGTCAACCTGAGGTAGACAGCTAGAGCTTATTTACTAGCCTGGACCTCAGCTGCAGGATGACTAATTCTTTTCCAAGACCTCTAGACCCTTGTCTTAGGGTACAAAAGCTAAGCTGCTATTACAAAAATATCCAGTAAAACATGGCTTAAGGACACTCATGATAGCAGCTAGGAGATAAGCAGTTCCATCGCTGGAGGGACTCTAGTCTGCACAGTCTTTCAGGGACCCATGTTCCTTCCATCACAGAGCCTGGCCAGGTGGCCGCATTAACCCCAGTGCCAAGGACCAGGAGCCACGTCCCCTGCCTAAGGCCTAGGCACACAGTACCTCCGCCAGAATTCCATTGGCAGGAGAAAAATCATGTGATAACACCTCCCTGCAAGGGGTGGTGGGAAATGTATGTTCAGCAGCATACCCAGAACGATGGAGAGAATGGGTTTGCCAGAGACCTAGTGCGTCCTATGGACCCTCCAAGCAGGAGATAAACCCAGGGGGTGTGTCTGTCGTTGCATAGTGAGGTTATCATATTTACCTTCCTTGTTTCTCTTCCTATACCATATCAGTGGGTGAATTCAAGAATAAAATATGGGGGGCCTGGGTGGCTCAGTCAGTTGAGCATCTGACTCTTGGTTCCTGCTCAGGTCATAATCTCAGGGGGTGGAGCCCTACCTGGGGCTTCTGGTAGTTTGAAGTTTCTCTCCCTCTTCTCCCAGCCCCATACATGCATGGGTGTCTTTCTCTCAAATAAATAAATATTTTTTTAAAAAGAAAGAATAACTGGGATGCCTGATTGGCTCTGTGGTTGAGCATCTGTCTTCAGCCCAGGGCATGATCCTGGAGTCCCAGGATCGGGTCCCACATGGGGCTCCCTGCATGGAGTCTGCTTCTCCCTCTGCCTGTGTCTCTGCCTCTCTCTCTCTCTGTGTGTGTCTTTCATGAATAAATAAACAAATCTTTAAAAAAGAGAAAGAGAGAGAGAATAAAATAGAGGCTCCTGGGTGAATCTGTTGGTTAAGCATCTGCCTTTGGCTCAGGTCATGATTCCAGGGTCCTGGAATTGAGTTCCACGTCAGGCTCCCAGCTTGGTGGGGAGCCTGCTTCTCCCTCTCCCTCTGCTGCTACCCCTACTTGTGTTTGCTCTCTCTCTTTCTGTCAAATAAATAAACAAAATCTTAAAAAAAAGAATAAAATATAAATCATCTGGAATTTATTTAGTCTCAGTACACCAGCCTTATGGGATCTGGAAACTAACTCCTAAAAGCATGTGTTAATCAATAAAATAAAAAATAAAATAAAATAAAATAAAAAGCATGTGCTAATTTTGTTTGTTCTATCTGACTCAAAATTACCTTATAGTTTAAAGTTAGAGATAAGTACACAGGCTTTGGAGACAAAAAATTCTGAATGAGAGACCCACCTCCATTTATCTGCCTTCTGTGTCACTTTGGGCATGTTACTTAAACTCTTGAGTGTTGTGAGGATTGTAGAAGCATGCAGAGAGAACTGAGTGGAAATCCTGGCTTCTGGGACACTAGACAGTTCTAATTTATCTGAATCTTGTGTTTCCTGGAGAATGGGGTTGTACTGTAACTCTCACTGGGGTGTGTAATGATATATGTCCTAAGCATGTAGATCCGTACTGGCTCACAGTACTGAGAAATTTAGGATGTGATCTACATTCAGTCTCACACAGTGTGACCACCCTGACTCCGTCTTTCTCTGTAGGTCAGCTTCAGCCTCAGGCCACCTCTACATGGAAGCAAAATGGTTGTGACATACTCAGAAGAGTGAAAGCTGCTGCTCCCCCAGACACCACTTCAAGTCCCAGTCACTCTGGTACGTTATGTGCCTGTCTCTGAACTTCAGTTTGGGGGACAAGGTTAGCTGATTGGCTTAAGCAAATTAGGACCCATTCCTGTAGCTAAGGATGGGGTCACCCCCAAATAACTATATGGCAGTCATATAGTTCCTCTGAAGGGAAACTGGGTTGTAGTTATCAGAAAGGCAGCCAAAACAACAGATGTCCACCACAAAGAATGTGTTTGAAGGATGAGTTAATTGGGCCTAATTATGGCCCAATTTTGATTTGTTTTTTGAAATTATGAACTGACTTCTTCCGATGATAGATGAACTAATCATGGGTCTGGCAGTTTTCCTTCATATCCTCCGAAGCGGACTTCTCAAGCTTCCTTTTCTTGCTTTGCCTGAACCAGTGAATGCTTTGCTCCCCCATGGCATTGGCGGTGTCTTTCTGACCCAAACCAATGAATTGAAGAATAACCTTTAGAGATCCACAGATTTTTGAACTTGTAGTATTTGTGTTTTTACTTTATTTTTATTTATTTATTTATTTATTTATTTATTTATTTATTTATTTATTTTTAAGATTTATTTATTTATTCATGCGAGACAGAGAGAGAGGCAGAGACACAGGCAGAGGGAGAAGCAGGCTCCATGTAGGGAACCCGACGTGGGACTCGGATCCCGGGTCTCCAGGATTACACCCCGGGCAGAAGGCGGCGCTAAAACGCTGAGCTACCTGGACTGCCCAGTATTTGTCTTTCTAAATTTTTTTTCAATTTTTAAAATATATTTTATTTATTTATTTGAAAGAGAGCACAAGCAGAGTAGGGGGAGGAGCAGAGGGAGAAGGAGAAGCAGACTCTCCACTGAGCAGGGAGCCTGTCAGGAGACTTGATCCCAGGACCCTAGGATCATGACCTGAGTCAAAGGCAGTTCCTTAACCAACTGAGCCACTCAGGGACTCTGTAGTATTTGTCTTTGAAAGAACAATAAATTTTGTCCCTAAAGCCTGGACATATATATCACAGGCTTTGGAGACTAAAACTGTATATACCAAAAATTGCATGTATATGTACATATATATGTTAATATGGAGAAGTAGAATAAACTTTTGGGGTCTTCTTGTTTGTAAAATTGTGCAGTAAGAATAGATGCTGTCTAAGTTCTTTTCAGCATGAAGACCCTTTGGAGAGGCAGTACAATGGTAACATAACAACAATTATGGCCAAAAGTAACTATCGAGTACTCATTGGATACTGCCCTAAACTCTAATGTATACAGTATTTTATCTCATTCAATCTTCACAACAACTCTATGAGGTGTGAACTATTACCGATCCCTCTTAGAGATGAGAAAATTGAAGGTAAAGGAAGTCACACAGTTCAAGGTCATATGGTGGACGGTGGCTAGGAACTAGAATTCAGGTTGGTAAGATTCCAGAGTCTGTGCCTTTTGGTCATGTTATACTGTCACTATGCTTCTGCTGAGGAAGAAAGGACTCAGATTTGGGAGTTGGAAAAACTTGGACCTGAATTCTAGATTTGGCACTGTGACTTGGGGAAAGTTACTCAAGCTCTCTGAGCTTTAGTAAGATAGAAGATGAAAATATGACTACCTTACAGATGTGGAATTAGAATTAAGGTAGTTGAATGAATGAATGTAAAATTTTTGGCACATAGTAGGTGCTCAGTAAGGGATATCTCTCATAATGACCCACTAAACTAAGCCAATTAATAGAATACATTGGTACCGGACATACAAGAACTGTGTGAATGAATCCCTGGCTTCTGAGTCACTGTTTTGAATGCTCATTATAAATAAGTTTGTGAAAGCAATCTTCTTTAACAAAGCATTGCCTGTTTCAAGCTGCAAAGCATGCATTTGACACAGACAATTGACAAGTGATGGAACAGGGGTAACATTTTTAAAATACTCATGCCAGTGAATGCTGTTTTGGAAACCGACATGTTTTTCCTCTTTCAGTAATCTGGGTCATTTTCCCTTTTAAGGGAAACCATTGTCTCTACTGAGACTAGCTCATGAGATTTGTTTTCCCAGGCAAGAGGAGAGGTACAAACACCTGGCAGCCATAGGATAGGGAAGAAAGGCAATTTGATGCATGGGGGCATTCTGAACAGATAGGGAGGGAAGCAGAACAGGTGTCTGCCTTTCGGTCTCCGGGGTTGGATGTAAGAGGCAAGGAGAGAGGACAAAGGGTCAGAAAAGTGTGCTTCTCTTCCCCTCTCTGGTCCTGAACTCCTGCTGAGTTGGTGGAGGATGTGGTTTAGAAATAGCTAGAGCCGGGTCGCCTGGGTGGCTCAGTGGTTGAACATCTGCCTTTGGCTCAGGTTGTGATCCTGGTGTCCTGGGATCGAGTCCCACATTGAGCTCCCTGCCTGGAGCCTGCTTCTCCCTCTGCCTGTGTCTCTACCTCTTTCTGTGTGTCTCTCATGAATAAATAAATAAAATCTTAAAAAAAAAAGAAATAGAGGCATTTGCAGGAAATGCTAGAGCAGTGGCCTTTGGGCCCTAATCCGCCTTTGGGACTCTTGGATAACGGTAAGTCATAAGGAGCTCTGCACCAACCTGGGGGGGGGGCTGCATTACCATTGGTGGTGTCATGTGCTCATGCAGAGAGGGTCTGTGCCAATGTCTTGAGTCTCTGACAATTTCCTAGCTCCCCCTTCACCATCACTGAAAGGACAAGGAAAGCAATTGAATGTGTTAGCTGTCCTTTTATTACAAGGTCAAAGTGATCCTGTAGCCAAGAGCTGCAGGATGGATTACCCAGGCCAGGGAGACTGAATTGAAGTCACAACCAAGTCCCAGAGGGATCCGCAGAGCCAGCAGGAAACTAAGGTGGGTCATGTCTAGCCACCCAGGCATATACCCAAGTAGAAGGACTGACCGTGAGCTCCACTGACTTGGTAATCAGCAGTAGAGAGGCCTGAAGAAGTGTCAGTGATGATGCAGGACATCTCTGTGGAGGGCAGTGAAGATCTCAGAGCCAGTATTAGGAGCATGAGGACCTCCTTCCTCCCCAACCCCCATCATCAGAAGAAAGGCTGTCCAGGTACCTGGATGGTGTCTCGACAGGGAGAATGAGGAATTAACCCTGGAGAATAGAAAGATAGCCCTGGGAGCCAATCTGACCCATAAAATGGATTAAATATTTATCCAAAAGAAATTGAGCCTTGAGAGGACTGCTCCAAACAGTGACCGAGTTACCTTAATTGGAAGTTAAGATTTTCCCACCTTTGCCATCGGTGGGATGGGCACTCATGAGCAAGATATTTACAGACAAATGAGAAAGCTCATGTTTTGCACACAGAGTTGTAGCCTGCAGCATGTGCTGTTGGTCATCCCAATTTTAAGGGTCCTCCTTCTTTCTGTACAGTCACTTGTATAGGCAAAGTGGGTGTCTCCCCCAAGACTCAGAGGCAAATCCTGGTTAGTCCAAACTGGCCACTGTGCCCCATTCCTTGTCAGTGCTTGGTTTAGGCGTGGGCGTGTACAGTCCTTATGGCCATGAAACATCAAGACACCCACTGGGGTGCATCTGGGGAGATTTTCCTCATTGAAAAGGAGAGACATACGGGAAAGTCTCCATTCTGGTGCCGGTAATGACTATGATCATGGCAGGCAACTTGGGACCAGGGCAGGAGGTGGGGTGGTGGTGGTGGTTGGGGGGTGGGAGATGGTTAGCTGAGGACTAGCAGACTCACTGCAGAGGGAGGATAAGAAGCTAGAAGGAACCTGGGTCCTTGATGATGCCCTTTGACTCCTGGAATGCCCACCCTACCTCCATCCTTCTTGGTATGTGAGAGAATAAATCCCCCAAGTTAAAGCTATTTGAGATGGATATGTTATTTGCAGGCAAAAGCATCCTAAATGAGGCAGAGCGTGGGTAGATTTTTGACCTTGCTTCTCTTGCTGCATAAATGTGTCCATACGATTGTGAAAAGGAAAAGGGTGCCAACAGTCATTAACTAACATCGAGAACCACTTGGATTACTTCCTTCGGGCAAGCCTTATTACCAGACGATCGAACCTTCTGGGTTTGACAGCAGCAATGACTTCACATGGTACCATCTCCTCTTCAACGTCTTTCCTAAAGGAACAGATGAAGCCACACTTGTTAATTCTTCTTGAACACGAACAAAGGGATCCTTTCTGCCCTTTTAAAATGTATTATTAAAATGTGAAATGAATATGTTTCTTCTAGAGTTGCTTGGAAAGTGAACTGGGAGCAGTTAAACATCAAACTCACTGCTGTTTTTTGGCTTTAACGGGAATCACCTTTGCCTTTTTCTATGGAATAAAGGAAGTCTTAGAACATAAAAGCATTTCAAGAACTGGATTTTAACTGCTGAGCTGACCAGAGATAGAAGGCTCACACCGACTGGAGCTGTATAATTTGGCTCTTTTTTTTTTTTTTTTTTTTAACATTCTGACTTCTCTCTGACTGCAAAAATCTATCTGCTTTGGTTCAGTTTATATTTTCTCCCCCAGTCAAATAAAATTTCTTGGAGTTCAGCATCACCCATGCCTACTTACTTTGGGCAGATTATTTCAGGGTAATTTACTAGCTGGAAAGAAAGAAGGAGGGAAGAGAGAGAGAGAGAGAGAGAGAGAGAGAGAGAGAGAGAGAGAGACTCATCTTTCCAAGTACTGTTTCCATTACAAAATGTCCCAGAATTTCATATTCAATGGATCTGCAATTCTCGAGCCACATCTTTTCTTTTGGGAACTCTGTTATGTTATACGGGAACTTCAAGGGGTGAGTTGGAGGCTGGGAGAGATGTAAAATTGCCACAACTTCAATCCTGCTTCAAGTGCAAGTATTATTTGTTTTTTACTGGAGGCTTTGAAAAGGGCTTTTTGGAAAAAATATTTCCATTAGGAAATAAAATTTGAAAACAACAGTGTTATATAAGAATAAGCAAGTGCATACAACTCAAATATTATTGTGTCCTGACCTTTCAGTGTCATGCGGGTCTCTCATACAAAGTACTTTGCAGAACAGGCGGTAGGCAGGATTTGGCCCAAGGGCAGGGAGTTTTCTGAGCCTTGCCTGGCATCATGAACAGAAAGGCCACAGCCACAAGCAACAACATGGGTATATCCTTTAAAAAAAGACAAAAAGCGTAAGATTTATTTATTTATTTGAGAGAGAGAGAGAGAGAGAGAATATGAGCGAGGAGAGGGGCAGAGGGAGAGAGAGAGAATCCTCAAGCAGACTCCCTGTTGAGCACGGAGCATCACGTGGGGCTGGATCTCATGACCCTGAGATCATGACTTGAGCCAAAACCAAGAGATAGATGATTAACCGACTGAGTCACCTGGGCACCCCAGAATTGTTCATTTAAAAGGCCAGGATTGTTTTGCCTCCAGAGTGCAGGGAAGGTAGTAGAATTGGGAGGGGGGCACACAAGGGACATCTGGGGTGTGGACAATTTTCTCATTTCTTGAGCTGAAACAGCTTCATGGGTATTCATTACACAATTTGTTAAGTTGTACAAGCGTGTGTTATACACAAAGAGTGCATTCTATTTCTCAATAAAATGTTGAATAAAAATGAATATTAAGAATCATGCATTATGCTATTATGCTCCATTAACTGATTGTAAACACTTTTCTTTGGTTAATAAACATTAACCTTTATTTCTATATCATTCTTATTAGTCAACTCATTGGTGTTCAGCCCTGCCTGCACACCAGAATCTCCAATGGAGTATTTCTTTCCCCAAAACATGGATGCCTGAGCCCATCCTCTTAAGATTCTGACTGAACAGATCCAGGCTTGGGGGGGGGGGGGGTCTGCAGGCCTAAGCAATGGCGATGTGCATTGAGAGCCTCCTGTTAAAACCACACTATCTTGGTGCAATTTCTGCAGCCTCCCCACTGTGTCACACACTTTGCCCTAAATATTCATCCAAACTGACAAGCTGAGCATTTTATTCTTAATTGCACTTGCCTTGAAGTGAGTCTCCCTTTTAGTAAAAAAGTCCAGTCCTCATCAAGATGGTATCTTATCTGACGTTTATTCCAGCTTCCTTTTTACTCGCTCCTAAACTGCAGCACCTTGAAACTGCTTTTTTAATACACTCATTTCCTTATTCTAAGCCAAGTGCACATTCTTGGCTCCTTGGAGCCAATCCCATCACTCCTGTCTCCCCGGTGCTGCAGCAGCTTGCCACCCACCCCAGCAGAGATAAGTGCCTGTTTATCCCCAGCCTTTGTTTCTGGGCCCTAAGTCAGTTTCCTATCACAAGGAAACATTCCTTCCACCCCTCTGCTGACTCATCTTTATCAGCGTTTACTGGAGAATCTTATCAATAGCCTTTTGAACAACTACATAAATTAAATTTATCCCTCTTATCCTTGCTCTTTTTATTTACGCTTCCAAACATCTCTGGCAATGGTAAAACGAACTGACTTCCTCTTGGACTGTACTTCTTCCCAATAGATTTGGACTAAACGTTTAATTGTTCACTGGAAGGCAATCTCCACTTCTGCTAAAGCTCAGATCACCGTAAGTCCCTATTTGCCTTGGACGGTCCTGCTTGATGCCGGGTGATTGTTAACAGTGCCCCCTTTTACATTAAAAATAAAAAATCTCGGTTTATATGATAAATTTTATGGTTACCTTATTAAAATCCATGCAGTATTGTTGAAAGAGAACCAGAGGAAGAGTCAGGAGACCTGCATCCTTGTCCCTGCGAGGCCACAAACTAGCTGTGTGGGTTTTATCATTATGAATCCTGACTCTCCAAGTGTGGTCCCCAGACCAGCCCCATCAGCGTCAACCTGGGAGCTTGTTAGACATGTGGAATCTAAGGTCCCAGCCCAGACCAACTGAACTATAATTTGCATTTTAATGACTCCCTAGTGATTTGGATGCACAATATAGTTTTTGAAGCACTGTTCTAAATCTCCCAGGTTGCAGCTTATTAGTAAAATAAAAACTGTCTAGCTTCCACATGGCGTTAAAAATAATATCCATGCATTCAATCCACTGCATTTTAATAACAAACCCACAGGAGGAACAGAAAATACATTAAAAACATCTACTTACACGTAGCATGACTTGCTTTTTTAAAGTGCATGAATGGAATCTACTGTTCAGTCAAAGTGCTAGAAACATCATTTGGCTTCACTGATAAGAAATGTACCAGGTTAAGATAGATCTCCTGGGACACCTGGGTGGCTCAGTCAGTTAAGCATCTGGTTGTGATCCCAGAGTCCTGGGATCGGGCCCCATGTTGGGCTCCCTGCTCAGTGGGGCGTCTGCTTCTCCTTCTCCCTCTGCCCCTCCCTCCTGCTTGAGCTGTCTCTCTCTGTCTCAAATAAATAAATAAAAATCTTGAAAAAAAAGAAAAAAAGGATGGCTCTCCTCAGAAGAAGGCAATTGTCACAAAATGAGGCAGCTGTGGGCAGCCAGTACTTATAGGAGCTGGGTGTAGTGTTCCTTGTCCAAGTTAAAAGTATCCAGGTAGGTCACCAGTATCAGCTAATATATATTTTACTAAATTTGATGTATTGTTTTCTGGTCTCTCTAATCAGTACTAGAAGTACTTACCAATTACTTTTTATGTTGGTAACTTTAAAAATCCCATCTGAATGCTTTTTAGACGTTTTCATGGATGTGTCTCTAATATTGTGAGAGTGGGAGTGGATACTGTGAAGCTGGCCAACTGCTCTCTGAAAGTCTGGCATTTCTTTGAAATTATATGTTTTATCTCTAAACTTCAAATAAATTCCATCTTTCTACTGTGAAAGAAAGAGAGATTGAGGGAGGAAAGAAAGCAAGCTAATTGTCTTAAAAATCCCAGTGCTGGCCTGAGCAAGAAAATACTGAACTGGTTTATTAATGATATTACAGAATTACCTACCTAACACTTTGACTCACATGAATGCTTTATGTTCCTGTTTTGCATTAAAAATTCCCACACAGGGGCACCTGTGTGACTCAGTGGGTTAAACATCTGCCTTCAGTTCAGGTCATGATCCTGGGGACCTGGGATGGAGCCTCAAGTCTCTGTTCAGTGGAAAGTCTGCTTCTTCCTCTTCCTCTGCCTGCCACCCCACCTACTTGTGCTCTTTCTCTCTATGTGTCAAATAAATAAATAAAATCTTAAAAAAATTCTCACACACATGAAAATAGAAAGAAAAGAAAAAGGTGTCAACATTTGTTTCTTTTTTTTTTTTTTAATTTTCTTAGGCTAAGATCGCTTTTACCCACTCAGAAGAAAATCGTATTCTATTCAGATTTCCAGTAATAGCAAAAAAGGAAAAGTTATCAGTTATTGACTTGAGAAGGAAATGTTTCTTGTCATACTGAAAGTTTTTTTCATTAAAAAAATTTAAGTTCAATTAATTAACAGATAATGTATTATTGGTTTCAGAGGTAGAGTTCAGTGATTCATCAGTTGCATATAACACCCAGTGCTCACTATACCACGTGCCCTCCTTAATGCCCATCACCCAGGTATATGCAAAGTATCAATATTAACTTTCTGGAAAAAAAGATCTCCAGATCCTGCATGAAGTCCAGGGCAGTTGCCTGCACCAGATCCAGGAAGGAAAGTTGAGGAGTTCTGTGGAACTTAGATGATGTTTATTTTCATGGAATCCCGCCACAATAAGCTTATGGCAACAAGGTTTCATTAATATTTTTTAAAAAGGAATGCTCTTATTATAAGTTATTTCTGTAGGGAGTTGTGCTCTACTCTTTGATTGGCTGGCAGTCTCTTTATTGTCACCCAAGGTGGAGGGAAAGCCTTATCATCCCCTGCTCTATGGTGGGAGTTGCATAAGCTTGGGAGAGATTGCACACAGTTTATAGATTCCCCAGTGTATCTTCATAGAGATGCAGATTTAATTTCATGGCCCGGAGGCTGATCAATGTATCCATCCTGTTTGGCCTCAAAACTTTTAATTTTTCCATTGCCTGTCACCCACCTCCTGTATACAGACGACATTTGATAATGGGCTGTAATTGCATAGAATTTTTGCATATATTCTACAAACACTCATTGTGCACCATGCTTGGGGATGCAGATGCTCTGGGAGCTCACAGTCCAGTGGGGGAGGTAATCTCCAAGATCACAAAACGGTTTAGTAAACAAGAGAGGAAGAAAAGAGGTTGCACCCTCTTCGTGGGAATGTGTTGTATCTTGCTCATCCGGGAAGATCAGGGAACAATTTCAGGCAGAGGTAAGGCTTGACCTGAGTCTCAGAGGATAAGTAGGACCCTTATCCTTGGAAGGAAGGCCAAGGGCAGTGGTTCTCATCTCCTTCTCTATTAGGCAATGTCTGGGGACATTTTTAGTTTTTGCAGTACTTGGTGAGGTGTAAGGTGGGGCAAGCAGGGGTAGGTCTGCTATTAGCATGAGTGGATAGAGGCCAGGGATGCCGCTAACATCCTCCAAGGCACAGGACAGCCCCTATAACAGCTATGTGGCCCCTAATATCAATAGTGCCAAGGGTGAGAAGCCCTGCAGTAGAGGGAAGGACAGGCTTCTTTAAAGGACTTGGAGCACCAGGAAGCATAAATAGGGCAGAAGGTTATCTGGTAATGAGAAGTAGGAATGGACCCCCAAGCAATTCTCCAATCCTCAGTGGACACTGATAAGGTGCCCTATAAATTCAATTCAATTCAATTCTGACACTATCTACTTGGAGATAACATCAGATCTCCCAAGTTAGGAGCTCGGTCCCAGAAGACTGCCCACTTTCACATGCCAATCGCAAGTCCGTTGTCACCTGTGCTTCTGACCGACTGGCTAGAAACTGGAGGTCCCTAGACTCCTTCTGTAGGCTTGATTTCCTAGTGCGGCTCACAGAACTCGGGAAATGTTTATGTCCAGTTGCCCATTTATGATAAAGGATAAATGATGCAGATGAACAGCCAGATTCAGAGAGAGCAAAGTCTGAGAGAGTCCTGAGCTCAGGAGCTTCTGTCCCCAAGGAACTGGGGTCCACCACGTCTCTGCGGAGAGGTGCATGTGTTCACTAACCTGGAAGCTCTGCAAATTGCATTGTTGAGGAGTTTTTAATTGAGCAGTTTCTGCAGCACCCCCATTCCTTCCTTTCCCCAGAGGTGCGTGGGTGGGGCTGAAAG